TTTCAATTGACTATAATAAGCAATTGGCCAAATTTTGAAGCAGACATTTTCATTATGTATGTATTTATTTATAAAAGAAAGAAAGAGATGAAGCTGCATTTCCACAAGGTTGTGTGTAATTTTCCTTAGCATTCAATAAAAGAAACTTCACAGAAGTTTGGTCAGTGGCATCATGTAGGAAGCAGGAGAAGATGATGGTTGTCCAAGTTACTGGTGCAACAGAAAGGTTATATGCTGACTTTGCCTCTGTATTTTTTGAGTCCATTAAGTAGGGTGTGCACAGCTGCACTTGTGGGCTGCAGAAACACATTCCCAAGCACGCAAAGGCTGTGGGCCTCAAGCTCTTTTTTTCATTCTCTCTGACTAGATAGTATTAAGTCTTTCCTCTGCCTATGCCTTGATTTTTTTTTGGCTCTAATTTTTCCAAAATTAAGAAAATGTATATTTTGCAAGTAGTAGGACCAACATAATGCCATATTTTGGTTAATATAACTTTTTTCTGTAAGACAAATCATGCTACTGTGAAACCTTATAATCAGGTTCAAATTCAGGTTTATTTATTAAACAACAACATACATTACAAAGTAATGTACCATAAAGAAAATACAGTAAGTACAAAATTACAGTAAATACAGAATTGAAATACAATAAGTATAATAGACTTATAAAACATAATAGATTAAGCCATCAGTCCCAACTGGTTAACTGTCCCAGACTGGTTATATTATCGATACATTGTTAAAATCTGCATCCAGATTTTAAGGGTGAATATAATGATATTTTATAATATATTTCCCCCCCCCCTGATGACTTCAGTTCTTTTGTTGGACAAAATAAAATGAGACAACCAATAATGTGTGTTTGTGTGACCAGTGGAAAGTGAGGGCATGTATGGAATTTTTTTAATATTTCTCTCTTAAATGACTTTCATGTCGTAAATCATAGTTTGAGAACCACTTGCCTCGAACTTTATCTAAAAGATCTTTTGACTCCCTGATGTCCTCTAGAAAGAATATAAAATAACCCCCTAGCTTTCTGTGCACAATTTCTGTATAATACACTTGGAGGAAGAAGCATGTGAAACTTTTTGATTGACCTGGTTTCTGCAGAAATTAGTCATAAAATGAGATATAATCTTAAAGTCACAACAACAGACAATCTGCATAAAAACCACGCAAACAGAGATATGTCTTTTTTATTGAGTACATTATGTAAACATTGACAGTACATCATGGAATAAGTGTGTGATGTAAAAGCAGGCTAAAGACAAACGTTAAATGGAATTAAAAGTCCGCTTCAGTCAGTGAGGTGAGATTCAAGATGTTAGGCAAAGCCTCTTTAACTGTACAACCCGTATTTTGAGTTTGCTATTCATGAGAAGCATTATGTGAACCATGTGTCACAAAAGAGTTCTCAGAACACCTAAGATAAGAATTGTTTACTTGCATAAGCTTACAAAGTATTGTTAAAAGCCTTCATGTTCATCAGTGAGACTAACAGTCTATAAATAGAGAGTTCACTGCTGCTGCTGCTCTGTGAGTTGGGGGTCCTGCAAATATGACTGCAAGAGCATAGTGCAGAATTTCTGTAAAAACTCATAGAAATCTTGAACATGCCCCACCTAAAAACATCAAAACCTCATCCCAACATAAAAAGTATGGTTGGAAGGCCATTATGGTTTAGGGGATAAACTGTTTTTTCTCTCTCTCTCTAGGAGGCCCTCTGGTCCACCAGTTGAAGCTCAAAATAATTTGGGTGATGTGACAGGACAGGAGTAAATCAACAACATAATGACTTCATCTAAAGAAAATATGCCTTCTGTAGTGGCCGAAGTTGTGTCCTCAGCCCAACTGAGATGTTTTGGCATGATCTTAATAGACATCACATCATAGCCGTAGATTTATGTATTTTCAGAAAAAACGAAATGGTAATTTTCCCTCATGTAGCTCAGAGAAGTACTTCTTGTCTAGTTCACCAAAAAATTTACTTATACTGTCATGTTGTTTCAGACCAGCGGGATCCAAAACAACATTTTGCTCGAGAGAAATAAATGATTTAAATGGTAAATTATACACACACAAACACGCAAATACACAAACACACACACACACCACTTTTTATTAATAAGAACTATTTATTTTGTCTATAGATGTATATCAGTAACAGTGGTAGATTTTTATTTTGTCATCGCATTTACTTGAATAGAGGGTGTTCAGATAACAGATGAGAAATGCAGGGCCAGATTAACCATATGGTGGTTTGGGCACCATGCAGGGCCGTATAAATGTTTTCAACTAGCATGTACAGGGAACTGTAATACTTGATCTAACTAACCATCCAACATTGACCTCTTGAGCTGAACTTTCCAAAGAAAGTAAACATTTTGATTAACTGTAATTTAATCATTTGTTTGCTTATAACAAATAATTTGTTTGCTTTCTTAATAAATCACATAAAGCTGTTTTAAAAATTTTCATTAAAACAGGCTTAATAATTATCTTATTTTATATTTTCCAGTCACCTATTCAGCTCCTCCACAAATCAGTCTTCATCTTTGTTGTCTCCTTTTCCCTCTCTCTTTCTCTCCTTTACTGAGATCAGAATCTCAAGCAGAATGTAGGTCAGCAGTCGGTGCCGAGTTACCAATTAGAAACAGCTGTGTTTTTTTTGTTTGTTTTTTTTTGTCTATAGAGTGAGCGGAGGTCAGCGATTTCTGCTTTCGGTCTCATTCTTGTTTTTTTTTTTTCTGGCTTCTTTCCCCTCTCTCAGTTCCCAGTCTAAAAAATTATGTGTTTACTATCCCTTTTCCCTGCTCTGTGATAATGATAACACCTCAGCTCAACCTTTATAGGTAGGCTATACTCTGTCTAACTAAGGTTAAAAAAAAAAAGGTAACCTTTTTTTTCCCCTCCTGAGAATCACAAAAGATGAACTGGATAGATAGATAGATAGATAGATAAATAGATCCTTCTGCTGACTTATGTTAACAACATTCAGAAATGGAAAATGGATAAAATACATGTTTTGTGACTTGTAAACTTGAACATTTGGTTTTGAACACGTTTGGCAAATTCTGCTGAATTGTTAACACCAAGTTCTTGCAAGGACAAAACGACAAAGAACAACTTGTGATAGCCATCATTATGCAGCAAGTGTTTTTATAATATTTCTAGCTGTCATGGAATTGTATTCTAGCCGTTACATTTCCAGCTATTATTGCAAATAATAAAAAAAAAAAATTGTAAATTATTTTGAACACTATAAATATACGCAAATATAAATATTTTTCTTACACTTACAAAATCAGAAAAACTTATTTTAAAGTCTTGCTTTAAACTTCTAGAAAGTAGCCACTTTGAACAAAAGTAGTGCACAAGGATGACCATTTCACAGTCGACCGCACCCTAGACGTCATTAGCGTATCAGCAAACTTCGATGGTTTTATATAATGATAAATATGAACTAAATAACATCTAACTTTTTAAACGTGAATAAGTGAGTTGCATTAGTATTTTAATGTGATTGTAGCTCGGTAAACGATCAGAGACCTGACTCTGAAAACCATTTCCCTTCGCCGAGCTCTTCCAGAAACAACTTCTTCTTCTTCTTGTACGATTTTATGGCGGTTGACAAGCCAACTTATGGTGTATTACCGCCACCAACTGGACTGGAGTGTGAAGATCGTAGCATCTCTAATTGCTGTGCAACCAAAACTTTTGATTTTATTTTTCCCATATTCCCAGCAATCCTTCAATATGTCCTTTACTGGATGTAATTCTGAATGCCCTTTTACATTTATCCAATAATTCATAGTTAATTTCAATTTTCGTAAACTTATAGGCATTTCTCCCACCTCCACTTGTATGGCTGATATTGGAGAAGATCTGAAAGCTCCACTACATATTCTTAAAGATTGTGCCTGAACAGTTTCTACTTTTTTAATCAAGGATTTAGAAGCAGATCCATAAATTATGCATCCATAATCAATTGCTGACCTAATCAGTGCACTATATATTCTTAGTAAAGATTTCCTACTAGCTCCCCATTCTATTCCTGTTAAACATCGTAGTATATTATTACTTTTTTTGCACTTAGCTACCAACTTCTTAATATGTATCTTAAAGGTCAACCTGGGATCCATCCATATTCCTAGATATCTTATATCTTTAACTTGTTCAAGTACTTGTCCATATAACTTCACTTTTATTTCAGGGATATGATTCCTCTTCGCAAAACAGACTAGTTGAGTTTTAGTCACCGATAGTCGAAAACTCCATTTGTTAGCCCATTTTTCCACTTCATTAACCGCTGATTGTATAACTCTTGTCACGTGAGATACATTACGACCCCTTTTCCATATCGCTCCATCGTCAGCATAGACATCTGCAAACTTCATCAGTACCTTGAAATCCTCCTTGCTTGTCCGTACCAGCATACTGTCTTTTTCACTGTCAGTTCCCGATTCTTGTCTACAACTTTTCTTTCTTTTACGATTAACAATTTTACTCCAATCATTTGCTCCTGAACTCCTACCGCTACATTCTTCCTCCATCTCTGGATCACTTCCGGTACTACCGTCACTTCCTTCCATCAATGCTCCAGTCACAGTCCAGTGTTGTCCAACATCCCGCTTGTCTTCTTCTTCTTCTTTTATCCAGAAACAACTTTGTCGCTGCCAGCACAGTTCACTAAACGAGGTTATGAGAAAACACGCCCAACATCTCCCTCTGTCCAAACAGCAGCTTGTATAGTGTACGTCAGACCAATGAGCGATTTAGGGGTTGAGTCACCCGTACTGTTGCTAGGGCATGGCTTCAACCGTGTTACTATCACTGACTAACCAATCATATGACATTTCGCAATGTCTCAACATCTTTCCTGTGAACTTCTCTCTTTGAAGTCTCTGATTGGATACAAATGTTTTTAAGTTCCGCCTTTCATACTTTTTTACTGTCTGATTGGACGACGAAGCCATCAATCGATCTCCAGATTTTAGTTTACGTGCAGTCTGCATTAATTTTTGTCGAGAGTCTCTACGACTCAGAATTGAACTGTCCACATCGAGCGTCATCACTTTTTTGTTTATTTGTTTGTTTTGTTTTGTTTTGTTTTGTTTCCTCCCTTTGATTTACACCATTTGTTAAACAGTGTACAACACGGTTTTTTTGTATTATTTTTATTTCTGTAAATACACCGGAATGGAACTTAATTCTCTTCTACTTCTTCTTGAGGCAGCAGAGTATTTGGAAAGAAGAGACAGAGGTATATAATGATGTTTGTGTGGTCAAAAATAGTCTTTGAATTTTAATATTACGTTGTTGTGCTGGTCTAATGCAATTTATAAACCTGCCGGCGGATCAAGTGTAGTTTAATTCAAGCCCAAAAGGACGATGACATCTTGTTACTGTGAGTTATTAAGTCTATAATATGCAATAATCAGAATGAGATGACTTACGTGAATGACATTCGTCCCAGCCTCTGTTAAAATATTGATTCGTTTTCATTTTCCGTCAAATGTAACCTGGGGGAGGGGTGTTTGCTTTACAGTAAGTTGATGGAAGCATAATTTGTTAAATGTTAAATGGCTTGACGTTAAAACATACCAAGTGTCTAACTTTCTAACATTCTCGTTTTTTGTTCACTGAATCGCGCACGTCTGTATTTAATGCTGGTTTTGTTTACTTTCTCACTAGAAGCTGAACACGGTTACGCATCTGTTTTGCCGTACGATAGCGACTTTTCCAGAAAGAAAACTAAATTCTCTCCTATTTCAAGAAAAACCCACAACAACAGGTAAAAACAGTACAATGTCATTGCTATATTAATGAATGAATACATTCAAACGATGTTTATTCTACATGTAATCGCCATTTTTGTTGTTGGGCTTGGCTGTGTATAAACATTGCCACGCGTACAGCGTTAACATTCTGCTGCTGCTTTCTATTTTCCACTGCTGCCATCTCCCTTTCAAATCAATCCGTTTTTACGTAGAAACACCACACGTTTCATTAACCAAGAACTTTTTGTTGTTTAAAGACAACTGGCAACGTCAGTGCATTTTAAGTATTTATCAGGTATGCACAAAATAGCTGGAAACTACTAATCAGCAAATATGCTGATTTCCTTACCATATAAAACTTGTTAGACATTTAAAGTTATATCACTTGTTTGCATGCATACAATTTGCCAAACATTTTTTCTTCATGCATTCTTGCATACAAACAGTACATTTTGAATTAATGTTTTGTTTACAAGTTGCTATTCTTTACATTTTAACTTCTTGTTGAGCATTAATGGGACACATGTACATGTCATAGACAGTATGCTTTCAAGTAGTGTACTTTAGATGTTGTTAAACTCTCACTGTTGGGTGTGGTGTGAATAGACCCAAGTCAGCTGCTAGAAAGCTTTGAACCTGGATCTGTTTTGCTGCATTAGCCCCCTTTCCTTGCAGTGTCAAAGCAAAACAGCAGGAGCCTAGTGTGCAGCCCTTCCCCCACAAATGCATAGAAAGCACTGAAAAAAGGAAATCTATGGAATTAGGGCTTTCCAGGAAATTTGCGATTGTTTTTCTTTTCGCTTTTACCAAAACTTACTTAGGAATACTTTTTTGGAATTATTTCCCAAATTGCAAAAACATCTGCTGACATTGTGGACTTTCAGTAGTGTTAAAGCTTTTTTTTTTTTTTCAAACACCATAAATTCTGCACTAGCCTCAGATATTAACATTGTGCCTGTATTTTTAGCCTGTATTTTTTTTACCTGTCATGTGCAGCAATTTCATTATGTGTACTTACGGATGAATAATAAGGGAAACATGATGTCATTATTTTTGCAATCCCATATGATGACGTTAGTGGTACAGAAATTGCACACTGCAGCTTTGACATATGCCTAACAACTGAAGCTATGACACATATATTTTGTTTTTATCTTGCATGCATTACAATCCCTATATTTTGTTTGTTTGGAGATAATGTAATTGCCCCATCATACACCCCAGCATTCATACCCTGGACTAAAATAGCAATGCGTTGTAGCATGCTGAATTTCCTCTGCGTCATTGAGTGCATGCTGTGCTTTACTTAGTGATATCGGTCTACTGGACACAGTAAGGCCATGCAGAATTATTTTGTTTTGTGTATAATGTAGAATTCAAAGCAGAACAGCATGTAGTGTGTGAAGGGGCCAGGGAGCACCAAAAGCATTCCATTTATACATTCATTTATTTATGCATTCATTCCAAGTAAAAATAAATTACATTTGACATTGCTCCTTTTTTTGGGTTTCAAAGATAATTTGTTGAATATTTGTGCTCGACAACGGGGGCATTTTTGTTCATTCAAAATGAATAGTATCTTGATGGAATGGCAAACAAGAGTGCATATGTGGTGTTAACAAACAAATGCAGCTTTTCGAAGTTCCTTTTGGACCACATTATTATATGAAGAACATCACCATTAATTCAACACAAGACTTACTTGGTGTGTCCTGCTTTATATGATACTAGGAACCGTTTTACTCAAAGTACATTAATGGGGACATTTTTTATTTTAATTTGAAAGATTCTTAATTTATTTGTCTTACAGTAGATCAACAGCATCACTCTATTAGAAAAACATCCTGTAGCAGTTGTTCAGAGATACAGAGTTGCTTTTTTATATTTTTAGCACAGGGTCAGTATACTGTTTTTTTTATTTTATTTTTTTTATAAGTAAATAGTCAATGTTCTTATTTTTATTAACCAAACTCATCCATGCTTCTGTTTATTTCTTGTTCAGGTCATCACACAATGAGTTGGAAAAACACAGGTAAGAACTTACCCATTATGGATTATATTGGATTTGCTTATATCCTAAAAGCCAGTGTTTTGTAGTAATGATTTAAATTGTATAAAAAATGAGCAGGTTTGAAATTAACATTCGCCAAATGTGGGTGATAATCAACTTAATAGCCAATTTGGCAGCATATGTTTATAAATTATATTTGTGTTACTTTACAAGTGTTTCTGAGACACTGCCGGTAAACCCACTACATTCAATATGAATTATTTGCTGTTAATATGCTGACTCAAAAGGCATGAGAATATTATGATCATGAAACTATATGTTGGGGTATAATCTTGTCATATTTACATGATATTTTGGAGCATGAATTTCAATGTCATTATCGGACACCTAGGTTGGCTTTTTTGAATGCACATCAGAGTGGGCGCTTTAAAGGTGCTGTATGTAAGTTTTTGACTCAACTAAAGCATAAAAATACCATAATATGTTTGCAGATATTTAAGAAACATGCTAAGTTAACATATTTGTTTACCTAAAAAACAATGCTACAGTCAGTTATTCTCCTTTGAAAATGTGCGTTCCGGGCCGGAATTGTCGGTCTCTGTTTTGGTTTGTGAAACCCGCCCACTGCCAGTTTACCCAATTGTATTTCGGCACACCGGGTTGCCAGTTGGCGGGAAACACAGCGCATTTCATTTCGGCCATGGAAGCTGGCAAACGAAAGGGGTCAGAGCGGGAAATAGAACTTTCTGCCCATCCTAAAAAGCCTCGACATCCATCCAAAAAACTTTATGATCAACAACGGTATAATAAAAGCAAAATAAATATTGGAGATGCGTTTGAGAGATGGTTGTTGGTATCGTCAATCTGGCAACCTGTGTGTGCTTCAAGTCTGAGGAGGAGGGACCGGGTGAAAAAAAACCCTCTCCAATATTTTGAATTTGGACTGCAATACCTAGTTCAACCACTCGGTGTCAATCCTACATACAGCACCTTTAATGCTTTTGTGAAGAAACAACTGGTAATTTTATGAACTGGCAGCCTGTCTGCTAATCAATGTGCTTGACAATATTTCATTTTGGAGTGATCTGTATTTGGAGTTTACAACAACATATAAAAACCCTGTTTTTCCTGCATTGCCCTTCAAGTGCACAAAAAGGCTGTTTGAAATTTCACCCAATTTCAAATAATGATAGACTGTCATAAAAATGAAAACAATTTAGTGATTCACAACCCGATTTTATAATAAATATATTTAAATCCAAGCTGTGACTTCGATAATCAAGTTTATTTTTGATTATTATTATTTTTTTTCATATGGTTAGTAGAAGTTCTGAATGACCTTTAAATAATTTAGTAGCCAAATTAGCTGGAGAGTTAAAATGTTGATTTGAAACCCCGAAGAAAGAGGTGGCTGTAGTTAGTAACATTGCTAAATAAAAGTTAAAGTAAACTAATTACAATATGTTGGACAATTTGTGCTGTTTATGTTTGCGGCAGAGGTCGAGTGTGTTTTCACGTGTGAGATTTGTTTCCCTTGTGCTGATTTCTTGGAGTTTGTCTGTCACATGCTTGATTTTGACGAATTGATTACTGCTGCTCTGTGAGAAATATGTTCAGTCATGTCCTTCGTCAGAATGGAATCTCTGAACCATTAACAACACTAGACAGAGTACCAGGAAAACCATACAGGCAGGTTTATGACATTTTTTTGAAGAGACATATAGAAATACAAAGGAAAAAAAGTTAAATGTCATGTAATTTCCTGTTGTGGCGCTTCTGTGTAGGAGCATCAAATTAGTTAATGCTGTAAAAAGTAATAATTAAACAAATGTACTAAAGGCTGTGCTATATTGTGAATATAGTCATGGCTGGAAGTTGTTGTTGAATAATGTACAGCCGCATTAATTTTATAAAAAGATTATTACATAAATTAAGGACACAGTTGTTTTAAATTAAAATGTTATTTTTGTATATGTACTTGTCTCTTTATCTGTGCCATCAACTCTCTACATTGCGAGTAAATCACTCGCAAATGCGACTTAATCTTCTTTTGGTTTGTGAAACCCGCCCACTGCCAGTTTACCCAATTGTATTTCGGCACACCGGGTTGCCAGTTGGCGGGAAACACAGCGCATTTCATTTCGGCCATGGAAGCTGGCAAACGAAAGGGGTCAGAGCGGGAAATAGAACTTTCTGCCCATCCTAAAAAGCCTCGACATCCATCCAAAAAACTTTATGATCAACAACGGTATAATAAAAGCAAAATAAATATTGGAGATGCGTTTGAGAGATGGTTGTTGGTATCGTCAATCTGGCAACCTGTGTGTGCTTCAAGTCTGAGGAGGAGGGACCGGGTGAAAAAAAACCCTCTCCAATATTTTGAATTTGGACTGCAATACCTAGTTCAACCACTCGGTGTCAATCCTACATACAGCACCTTTAATGCTTTTGTGAAGAAACAACTGGTAATTTTATGAACTGGCAGCCTGTCTGCTAATCAATGTGCTTGACAATATTTCATTTTGGAGTGATCTGTATTTGGAGTTTACAACAACATATAAAAACCCTGTTTTTCCTGCATTGCCCTTCAAGTGCACAAAAAGGCTGTTTGAAATTTCACCCAATTTCAAATAATGATAGACTGTCATAAAAATGAAAACAATTTAGTGATTCACAACCCGATTTTATAATAAATATATTTAAATCCAAGCTGTGACTTCGATAATCAAGTTTATTTTTGATTATTATTATTTTTTTTCATATGGTTAGTAGAAGTTCTGAATGACCTTTAAATAATTTAGTAGCCAAATTAGCTGGAGAGTTAAAATGTTGATTTGAAACCCCGAAGAAAGAGGTGGCTGTAGTTAGTAACATTGCTAAATAAAAGTTAAAGTAAACTAATTACAATATGTTGGACAATTTGTGCTGTTTATGTTTGCGGCAGAGGTCGAGTGTGTTTTCACGTGTGAGATTTGTTTCCCTTGTGCTGATTTCTTGGAGTTTGTCTGTCACATGCTTGATTTTGACGAATTGATTACTGCTGCTCTGTGAGAAATATGTTCAGTCATGTCCTTCGTCAGAATGGAATCTGAACCATTAACAACACTAGACAGAGTACCAGGAAAAACAGGAAAACCATACAGGCAGGTTTATGACATTTTTTTGAAGAGACATATAGAAATACAAAGGAAAAAAATTTAAATGTCATGTAATTTCCTGTTGTGGCGCTTCTGTGTAGGAGCATCAAATTAGTTAATGCTGTAAAAAGTAATAATTAAACAAATGTACTAAAGGCTGTGCTATATTGTGAATATAGTCATGGCTGGAAGTTGTTGTTGAATAATGTACAGCCGCATTAATTTTATAAAAAGATTATTACATAAATTAAGGACACAGTTGTTTTAAATTAAAATGTTATTTTTGTATATGTACTTGTCTCTTTATCTGTGCCATCAACTCTCTACATTGCGAGTAAATCACTCGCAAATGCGACTTAATCTTCACTCTGGCGACTAAATGATGTCTAATATTAGCCAATGGCTAATAAATTCTCAGATTTTACTCGCCAGTGTGTGAGTTGGAGGCCAAGTATAAGTTTAGCGCAGATATATTTTCACTCGCCGAACACTCTCTGACTGAGCACTTCAGAGTTTCACTCTCCGCTAAGCGATCTGTGCTGTTTTTCAGTTAATCTAAATGGATGCGCAGCGCACCTGTATTTAACGTACCGTAAATTCTAGTGTGAAGGCGCACACCTTGCCGTCACTTTGACTCACACACACGCAGAGAGAGAGAGAGAGAGAGAGAGAGAGAGA